AGGCGCAGAGGCGGGGCCGGCAGGGCGAGGCGCAGAGGCGGGCCGGCAGGGCGAGGCGCAGAGGCGGGGCCGGCAGGGCGAGGCGCAGAGGCGGGGCCGGCAGAGCGAGGAGTCTGGGCACGCTCACCGGGGCCTGGCGAACCAAACGAGTCCTCCTTCTCCTCCTGCGGCGGTGCGTCACAGGGCTAGACACACTCGCTGGGCTGGACAACTCACTCACTTGAAGAGGAGATTCAGCGCTCACTTGAAGAGGAGATTCAGCGCTCACTTGAAGAGGAGATTCAGCGCTCACTTGAAGAGGAGATTCAGCGCTCACTTGAAGAGGAGATTCATCCACTTGAACCGGAGATTCATCCACTTGAACAGGATCACTCACTTGAACTGAAGATTCACTCACTTGAACAGGAGACTCGCTCACTTGAACTGAAGATTCGGCACTCACTTGAACTGAAGACTCAGCCCTCACTTGAACTGGAGATTCATCCACTTGAACAGGAGATTCATCCACTTGAACAGGATCACTCACTTGAACTGAAGATTCACTCACTTGAACCGAAGACTCATCCACTTGAACTGGAGATTCATCCACTTGAACTGGAGATTCATCCACTTGAACAGGAGATTCCCTCGCGGGGCTCACGTGAATCGCGAGTTCGGCTGGGCTGACGTGAAGCGCGGGCTCGGCTGGGCTGACGTGAGTCGCGGGCTCGGCTGGGCTGACGTGAGTCGCGGGCTCGTCAATGCGCACGTGAAGCGCGGGCTCGTCGTGACTGACGTGAACCAGCGGTGAAGACGACGAGGGCTTCGCGGGTAAAGTACACTCGGCAGGTGTCGAGTAGAATAAGCGCGCAGTAGTGAAGAGGTCCTGCAAGGAACAAGCCCGAGCGACATACCCGTCAAGAGTCCAGTTGGCAAGGTCCTGCGGCATCCATCGAGCGATCTCATAATCCAGCCCATTCAGAAACAGGCCCATGAGCTGGATATCATCTAGCGCTCCCAGACTGCTAATGGACAGGAACTCCTTCGCGTACCTTTGGACAAACCGGCCCTCTTGCAAGACTGACGACAGGTATTCTGTCATAGCCCGGTTGCTGACGACTGCTGGACCCATATTGAGGCATAGCTGTCAACCCTCCCGTTTTTTCCGGGTTTCTCACGTATTTTAGCTCTTTTCCCGCTGTCTTCCCGTTTGAGTATTTTCCCGTAAAATATACCGTATTTTTACTCTCTGATTGTGTGAGACGTACGGGCTCGGACAGATTCGGCTTGAAGTCGTTTATCCTCGGATGCGGTGCCGCGCGCGCTGGCCGGAGACACACTGGCTGCGTGGCGTGTCCGTTTTTATTGCACGCTGCCTGCGTGACACACGCGTCTCCAGAAAACGCGTGCATGCTAGAAATAGAACTGACGCCTATTTTTCACGCGACAGGCAAGCGTGTTTCTTTGCCTGGAATTTCTTTGCGTTTCCAGGCAAAAAAATAAATAAAAAATAGGAAACCATGTTTAGGCTAGCTGAATGTAATTTTGTACTCGAATACATATTAATACATTACATTTTGATGTTTGAAAGTCTAGGTTTTTACATAAATTCAGATATCAATGTAATTTAAACATATAATAATTATTATAAATAGATTTTCAAATATATGAATAAAATATATTTTCTTTTTTTCCATTTGTTTCTTAAGCTCTTAACAATGTTATTACATGAAGAAGAAAAAAAAACTTGAAAAAAAAAAACGTTCGGGGCCTATAGGAGGATATAAAGATAGGATAGTGTGTCTTCTGAGTGATGGTCCACCATCAGGCTAAATAGGCTCTTTAAAGCTACACAAAATGTGTAAATGTAATTAAAATAAACAGACAGCCCACTTCCCTATTTCGCGGATTTTGGAAGATGTGTGATAGGCTTGTTGAAATTGTTGTCCAAATGCTAGAGCAACACACGCTAATCCAAATGTAGATTTTTTTCCCTTTAAATGACACTGTCTCTTTCTCTCTCCCACATAGGCTAGTTATGAACACCTTAGACTTTTAAGGTTTGTGCTTTATTTTTAAAGTTTGTGGGTGAGAATCATGCAAAAAAAAATCCCTTATTTTGGGGATGGATTCCGGGAAAACTCCCTTATTTTCAATGTTCAATGTTGACAGCTATGTATTGAGGTTGGTGGTTCTGTGACGCTGTGCGGAGAAACAGAGCTGAGGCTGGGTCCAAACGCAGTGTAGCTTTATTAAACAAACTTAAAACGAGACACTAGAAGCAAGACTCGAGAGACGTGAAAGCACCAACGTAACACATAAATTCAACCACCAACAAAGACAGGGCAGAAACACAGGGCTTAAAACAGGTGAACTAAACAAGATGATAACACAGGTGCATGAAATAAACCATAATCAGTCCAGGGTAAAACATGAATGAAACAATAAACTAGGAAGGAGTGCCCCCCAGAGGCTCAAGCGGGCACTCCAGCCGCAGATCGTCACAGTATTACTGTTTTACTGAAATTTAACTCAGGAACTCAGTCATCAAGCAGGAATTGCCACAGGAAAACCCTTTTCTTTCCGTGACTTTCTGAGATGGGATTGTGTCAATTACAGATGAAATCATTATTTATGTTGTTCATAAAATACCAAAATAATGATGTTCTTCCTCAGGGTTTCTGTCTTGTTTTTCAGCAAAAAATGTAGACATTCTTAAATCAAGATAGATTTACTGTAGAGGCAAAATGATTAAAGATATTAAGATCAAGAAAGTGATTTTGTGTTTAAAACAAGAACTAATATCTGTCAGTGGAGTTCTCTTACGAGAGGTTCTCTCGTATTGCGTAAGCTAGCTTACGCTACGGGAAAGATTCATCTTTGCTGAGAAGTTGAAGCCAAAAAATTATTCCATAATTTTGTAATCATTGTCAACGCAGTCTCTTCTGAGGCAGACCATGAGCGGGCTAGCTAGCGGCTCATTGGTTCGCTCAGAGAGAATGCACGAACCTATGGGAGAGCGGCGCTGAGTCCGCGGCCAATGAGCGGACGGCGCTCGCTTACTGCGTCACAGCCCGCCAAAAGGGGCGTGGCTACAGTGTATAAAGGTCGCTCTCCCAGCTCGTTCGTCGATTCTTATTCATTCAGCGAGCTACACGCATCCGCTGTCCTGGGAAGAAGCCGCCGTCGTTGAGAAGGCACCGTCTAGCGAGCTCCGGAGTCTGAGGAAGCCGGCCGTCTGCCACCTTCAGCCGCCCAGCAAGCTAGCGCCATCCGACGCGTATCCTTTTTACTATTCCATATTCTAAAAGAGCCGAGCGTCTTTTTCAAGATGCCTCGTATTTCCTGCGGCTCATGCCGCTCTTCACTCGAGGAAGGAGACCGCTTCTGCGTTCTTCTGTTTCGGAGTGGAACACGCAGAGCTCGCCCTCGCCAACGGAGGATGCGACCACTGCGAGGACCTGCCTCCGTCTTCCCTGCGGGCTCGACTACAGGCAGTCAGAACCGCTCCCGCGCCGCCTCTCACTTCGCCGCGGAAGAAGAAACGCCGCTCCCAGAGGCCGCCGGAGCCCCCTGCGGATCCATGTGGGCCGCCGCCGCCGCCCACCGACCGCTCTCCTCTCCGCCCCTGCCGGACTTACAGTTCCGCCGTATGGCCGCTCTGTCGCCTCCGACGACACCGCGGATGAGAAGGACTCTTGTTCGCTGCACCCTTCTGACAGCGAGGATTGGTCGTCGATCGCGGCTCATCGACGAGAGAGTCTGCGGGGACCGCGCCCGGCATCGAGGGAGGGACTATCGCGCCCTCCTTTCGCAGGCCATCTACCGCCTGGGTCTCGAGTGGTCTCCTCCCCCAGAGCAACCACCGAACCGGCGTCCGGCCCCCGCCTGCAGCCGGGCTGCACCATTCCTGCCTGAGCTTCACTTCGAGCTCACTAAATCCTGGAATGCCCCTCTTTCGGCTCTTATCCGCTCCGAGGGGTCCGCTTCGCTCAGTGGACGGAGCCGCGAGATGGAGTTATACTGCCATGCTGCCCGCGCCTTTGACGCCGCCGAACAGGCCGCCTCAGCGCTGCATTCCATCCAGGCGCTCCAGAGCGACATCTCGTGCGAGATGCGAACAGCGGTAGGAACCCGCCCATCCTTTCGGATCTGAGGAAGCGCGACGGATCTTTCCCTTCGCGCCCACTAAAGCCGCCGCACAAGCCTTGG